TTTGATTTTTTTAAATTTAACTAAATTATCAACAATTACTGAAAAATTCATTGCTGCAAGTCATTTTTTACTTTTTTGCATTTTTGAGCATGTTTTTGAACTGTGATTACAAATTGTTTTATTTCACCAAAAAGTATAGGCAAATCGAAAAAAATTATTACCGGCAGAACTCTGTACGATGATTTTTTTAAGTAGAATTTTTCTTTGAAAAAAAAGTGTTTCAGACCGGAAAAAATGATTATCTCTGAAACTTCTTGATTTTTTTATCTAAAAAAATTTGAGGTAATTTAAGACAGAGAAAGGTGTATTTTCACCAAGTTTCGTCAAAATTAAAATATTTTTGCGGAAATGAGAAATAAAACACGAAAAATCAGAAAAATACTGTTTTTCGCATTTTTATGTTAAGAAATGACTTCTACAAAAGATGTAGATTTTTGCATGATCTACAACTTTTGTACAGTTCCGTACAGTTGAATGATGTAATCAGTTTTTGATTTTTTTAAAATTTAACTAAATTATCAACAATTACTGAAAAATTCATTGCTGCAAGTCATTTTTTTCTTTTTTGCATTTTTGAGCATGTTTTTGAACTGTGATTACAAATTGTTTTATTTCACCAAAAAGTATAGGCAAATCGAAAAAAATTATTACCGGCAGAACTCTGTACGATGATTTTTTTAAGTAGAATTTTTCTTTGAAAAAAAAAGTGTTTCAGACCGGAAAAAATGATTATCTCTGAAACTTTTTACCTACTTTTTTTTAACTTTTTTATCTAAAAAAATTTGAGGTAATTTAAGACAGAGAAAGGTATACTTTCACCAAGTTTCGTCAAACTTAAATTATTTTTGTGAAAATGAGAAATAAAACACGAAAAATCAGAAAAAACTGTTTTTTGCATTTTTCTCGGAAATTTTGAGTTTATGTTAAGAAATGACTTCTACAAAAGATGTAGATTTTTGCATGATCTACAACTTTTGTATAGGATACTTTTTTGTTTGACGTCAACTTTCGCCAGAAATCCCAATGATATAATTTTTCATAACTTTTCAACCCCCCAAATCAACCCTCCGCCGCCCCTGCTCACGCATTTATTTTTTTTTCGTTTATTATAAGCCCCTTTACCACTTTCACTTATAAAAGTCCAGATAACAATTTTCTCTTTTTTTTCACTCTAAATGAGTTATTTTCATCGGTCTATAACGAAAGATTGCTGACATCAAATTATGACAATCGATTTGAATATGTCTCACTCTAATTTGCGCCTTTTTATTCTACAGGGTGTTAAATTAAAAAACAATATTTTCGATTTTCTGTACATTTCGAATATTTCTGTACGGATTATCTTGAAAATTTGCACGCCTTTTGAGGTAGCAATTAGGAATATGGAAACCGTGCTGTAGTCACTTCTAGGGGCGCTTACTGTCAGTGTAAAAATACGAAGTTTTTTACCTTCGAAAATCTACAGCAAGAAATTCGAGTTCAGTCGCAAATAAAGAGGGTAGGCTACTATTTTAGTATATTTTAGTCCAATCAATCTGTCACAGCCTAACGTTAAATTTATAAAAAATACCACCTGGAAACAAAAAATATGGTGATATAGGAACACACACGCGTCAATAATATTGATCAATAAAGTGTCAATCGGGATCTACCGTTCTAATCGCGTCTGCTTTGGTCCTCGAGAAAAGGAAAAGGAGGCAAAGGACAGTGTGGAGAAAAAACTGGTTAAATAGACGTACGAGTCATGGATATGGGGAATTGCTTCTTTCGCTTACTCTTTATCAGTTTCCATCTTTGGAAAAAAAACACAAAGAACTCAAACAAACACTCGTAATAGTACAAGAAATAGAAACAACCTCTATCGCGTCCTGAAAATGGCATACGCACAATATGGCAATATACAGGGTCGGAAAGTCCCCATGGTTCATGGGCCGTTACGTGAGAGCGATAAAGGAAGACATAGAAATCCGTGCGATAGAGAAAGATGGCTATAATGAAGGCGTCTAATAGTCACCGCCCATTTCGCCCTTCCACAAATAAGATCCACTTCTTACTCAGAAAATANAGGAAGTCATAGAAATCCGTGCGATAGAGAAAGATGGCTATAATGAAGGCGTCTAATAGTCACCGCCCATTTCGCCCTTCCACAAATAAGATCCACTTCTTACTCAGAAAATAAAACAAAAATTTGCAAATTTTTTTTTATAGCGATATTTTTTAGAATTGCATAATAACCGTAACTCCTAAAAAATTTCGACCGAAAGATTTAAAAACTGGAATCTTAGAGCATCAAAATGCTTTTTTTAATTCCTGATACGACCATTTTTCACCTAAATATAGTCTGTCAAAAATCACGGAAAATTTTCATAAATTTTTTCGATCCTTTAACATTTTGCATTAGATATAGTCCAGTTACTCAGGGTTTTTACCTCCGAATTCTTTATAACTGAACCGATTGACGTGACATTTCTGAATGTCTCAAGGAATAAAACTTATATAGTGCTGAAGTGTGCTTTTGCTCTGGGGCTGGTTCCCACCCCTTCTTACGGGTGGAAATTTTTACGCCCAAAATAACCACATGAATCGATAGAGGAGTCAATTTTAAGTAACAAATGTTATATAAGGTTTTTTGGATAATCCAATACTTTCCGAGTAATTCATCATTGAAAATGTTAATTTTTTAATGAAAAAGTGCTCGTTTTCGGACAGTTTTTTTGCAAATAACTCTGAAACCATTGGATTTAACGAAAAAGTTGTAATGAACAAAAAGAAAGGTAATAAAAAAACAAATCTAATGGCATTATTTTGTTTTTCTTTAATTGCAATATAAACCCAGTTATGGATTTTTAAACATTATTATA